TAGAGCTAATACATGCTAAAAACCCCGACTTCGGAAGGGGTGTATTTATTAGATAAAAAACCAATGCCCTCTGGGCTCCTTGGTGATTCATAATAACTTAACGAATCGCATGGCCTTGCGCCGGCGATGGTTCATTCAAATTTCTGCCCTATCAACTTTCGATTGTAGGATAGAGGCCTACAATGGTCTTAACGGGTAACGGGGAATTAGGGTTCGACTCCGGAGAGGGAGCCTGAGAAACGGCTACCACATCCAAGGAAGGCAGCAGGCGCGCAAATTACCCAATGCTAATTCAGCGAGGTAGTGACAATAAATACTGATACGGGGCTCTTTCGGGTCTCGTAATTGGAATGAGTACAATCTAAATCCCTTAACGAGGAACAATTGGAGGGCAAGTCTGGTGCCAGCAGCCGCGGTAATTCCAGCTCCAATAGCGTATATTAAAGTTGTTGCCGTTAAAAAGCTCGTAGTTGAACCTTGGACCTGGCTGATCTGTCCTCCTAATCGAGCGCACGGATTCGGTCGGGTCTTTCCTTCTGGGGAGCCCCATGCCCTTCACTGGGTGTGGTGGGGAACCAGGACTTTTACCTTGAAAAAATTAGAGTGTTCAAAGCAGGCCTTTGCTCGAATACATTAGCATGGAATAATAGAATAGGACATCGGTTCTATTTTGTTGGTTTCTAGGACCGCTGTAATGATTAATAGGGATAGTCGGGGGCGTCAGTATTCAATTGTCAGAGGTGAAATTCTTGGATTTATTGAAGACTAACTACTGCGAAAGCATTCGCCAAGGATGTTTTCATTAATCAGTGAACGAAAGTTAGGGGATCGAAGACGATCAGATACCGTCGTAGTCTTAACCATAAACTATGCCGACTAGGGATCGGACGGTGGTTTTTTTATGCCCCGTTCGGCACCTTACGAGAAATCAAAGTTTTTGGGCTCGGGGGGGAGTATGGTCGCAAGGCTGAAACTTAAAGAAATTGACGGAAGGGCACCACCAGGCGTGGAGCCTGCGGCTTAATTTGACTCAACACGGGGAAACTCACCAGGTCCAGACATGCTTAGGATTGACAGATTGATAGCTCTTTCTTGATTGTATGGGTGGTGGTGCATGGCCGTTCTTAGTTGGTGGAGTGATTTGTCTGCTTAATTGCGATAACGAACGAGACCTTGACCTGCTAAATAGCCAGGTTGACTTTTGTCGGCCGCCGGCTTCTTAGAGGGACTTTTGGCTCAAGCCAATGGAAGTACGAGGCAATAACAGGTCTGTGATGCCCTTAGATGTTCTGGGCTGCACGCGCGCTACACTGACAGAGCCAGCGAGTACATCACCTTGGCCGAAAGGTCTGGGTAATCTTGTTAAACTCTGTCGTGCTGGGGATAGAGCATTGCAATTATTGCTCTTCAACGAGGAATGCCTAGTAAGCGCAAGTCATCAGCTTGCGTTGATTACGTCCCTGCCCTTTGTACACACCGCCCGTCGCTACTACCGATTGAATGGCTCAGTGAGGCCTTGGGACTGGCTCAGAGAGGTCGGCAACGACCACTCAGAGCCGGAAACTTGGTCAAACTTGGTCATTTAGAGGAAGTAAAAGTCGTAACAAGGTTTCCGTAGGTGAACCTGCGGAAGGATCATTAACGAGTTAGGGTCTCCTAGGCCCGACCTCCCAACCCTTTGTTTACTAGACCTCTGTTGCTTCGGCGGACCCGTCTTTGAACGACCGCCGGAGGATCGCCTACCTCGGCGTCCTCTGGCCAGTGTCCGTCGATAGCCTCATCCCAACTCTAGATCAATCATGAATTTCTTGTCTAAGTGAATTTATTCAATTAAAAGCAAAAACTTTCAACAACGGATCTCTTGGTTCTGGCATCGATGAAGAACGCAGCGAAATGCGATAAGTAATGCGAATTGCAGAATTCCAGTGAGTCATCGAATCTTTGAACGCACATTGCGCCCTTTGGTATTCCGAAGGGCATGCCTGTTCGAGCGTCATTATCACCCCTCAAGCCCTCGTGCTTGGTGTTGGACGGTCCGGTGGAGAGTCATCCTTTCCACCCGTCCTAAAGACAATGACGGCGGCCTCGTGGAACCCCCGGTACACTGAGCTTCTTAACTGAGCACGTATCGGATCAAGGGATCTCAGGACGCGGTCTATCTCCCCTCCTGGGGAAATTTTTCTCAAGGTTGACCTCGGATCAGGTAGGAATACGCGCTGAACTTAAGCATATCAATAAGCGCAGGAAAAGAAACCAACAGGGATTGCCTCAGTAACGGCGAGTGAAGCGGCAACAGCTCAAATTTGAAATCTGGCCTCTCGGGGTCCGAGTTGTAATTTGTAGAGGATGTTTCGGGTACCGCCTCGGTTTAAATTTCTTGGAACAGAATGTCAAAGAGGGTGAGAATCCCGTCTTGGACCGGTGGTAGGGCCTATGTGAAACTCCTTCGACGAGTCGAGTTGTTTGGGAATGCAGCTCAAAATGGGTGGTAAATTTCATCTAAAGCTAAATATTGGCCAGAGACCGATAGCGCACAAGTAGAGTG